ACTGGCTAATTTGTCAATTGTTTGTTACAAATGTTCGTATTTTAATATTCAAAAATGTTTTTGCCCAAAACATATGTGCACAACATGTCAGTAAAAATACTATGCAAATATTGCTGTCCTTGACTGCTGAATAAACACTGACTGATTGTATCTCTTGTACTTTATCAACGCAGTATCTAAAAACTTTGCACCGTAGTGGTTAAAATCTCATTCTAATAAGAGTTAAAAGTGCATTCGGTTGTTAGGTTTAGAGGGTTATTGAATTATGGTTAACGGTTGGTATAATTTTTTTTAAACATTATCTGCCAATTACATCTGCCACCCTTCTCCAAATCTGTGCCCCTACCTGGCCCCCCCAACAAATATTTTCTAGACACGCCACTGTAAATAAGTACTAGCTTCTATTTTGTCCCTGAGATTTATTTCCCCAGCATAAAGTAGTGTTGGTGTTAGCAGTGGTAGCTTAGAGATGGCAAACCTACAATAAAAAGTAACATGGATTAACAACTCTGTGCACTGGGATGGTGTAGATTGTGAGCACAGAATCTCCTCACCAGGTTTCGTTTTGTTTCTGTAGTTTTCCGAGTGAGAGCCTGTGCTAAAGCTAGCTGTGCACCACTTCTTAGTTACCTCTTTTAGTTCTACAGAAATTTTTTTGTTTGTCCCATCTGCTCCAAGTAGCCCCCGTTAGAGGTGCGCTTTGCCCCCTGTGGTCCGAGTCTTCCCGGTCAGCCGTTAGACTCTGTTCCTGCTACTCTTAGCGAACCTTTAGCTTCCGCTTGGTTGCTACTGCAAAGACTTACTGCTGATGTAGAAATTTAAATCTTTCATTACTAAATCACTTGACTTAGTTTTACTTCTAACTGTGAAAGAATGTGAGGAGAATCCAGCTAAGGTGACACAGTGACCATTACAGATGTGTCTGAAGCCACAAGGCCCGCCCATAATGCCTAGGCTTCCGCCAATGCTGAAAATTCCCACCACAGTACCCAAACGTGCAATGAGAACAGAGACAGGGACAGTGCAGGGAAGTGCTCACATGCATTTAGCGTGTGAACGATAAATTAATTTTTTTATAATCTGACATTCTTAGCTCTCTCCCTAAACAAAAACAGTGAGTGCAACGTTAAAACTCAGTCCTATAAGTTATTATTTTATCCACAGTAACTTTACGAATATTTGAGTATACATCTGTTAGCTGGTGCAACTCCTTCTGATCCACAGGTTTCTTATATGACTTATAAAACTGTCTTCCAAAAGTTTTACCCATTTAGTAGGAGTTTCTCTATCTGTACTACACTGCTATTTTGTTTTAGGTCTTTTAGTTCCTTACAATCCACAAGCATGTTGCATAGCTTGTAGCTTTTTGGGTGAATGTGACTGTATATAAAAATATCTGCAGGAAAACTAGACCCTTGAAAATAATGAAAATAACTGAAACAGTTTTGTGAACTTGAAAAAATAAAATATAGTAAAAAAAAATGTAGAGGAAGTTTTAGTTTTTGTTAGTTTGGTAAAATTTTACCACAATTTCCCTGATGAAGTTTTGAGGGATATGTTTATTGACAATCTGGATATCTACAAAACTGTGAGACAACTGCTTTTAAAAAAGGCGTGTTTTTATTTTTATTTTTTTTAAAAAGCAATATTTTAATAAATTCTATTTCTGACATGCACCCTCCAAACTAAAAGTTAACATTTTCAAACAATAAAAACTAAATTGAAACAAAAAACCTGCTCTGCACTTAAAAAAAGCAAGACTAAATCAAAATAAAGTTATTAGTCCAATCAGTGTCAAACAATGGTCCGAGTTTTACATGAGTTCACAGTTGTGTGCACAGAGAAAGGGGCTCAACAGAGAGCTTTAGAGGACTTGAGTACTTAGAGTGAGAGTGGAGGATGTGTGCTTGCCTGGCCTGACAGGCTGTTGTTAGGCAGTTGTTAACAAAATCTAATATCCAGGAACATATGTAGTTTGACTACCACCTTATTTGGAATGATAGCGTTGTTGCTGAGCTGTAGTCAACAAAGAGCAGAGAGATATACGGTAACTCATTTGGCTTCATTTTTCCCATTTGTCTAGTGTGTTGGGTGTTTGCTTCTGAAGATTCTTGAAAGGTCTTGTGAATTGTGGGTCTTATTTCATATCATATCTTATTTGTTCCACAGTATGAACGCTCTACATACTTACAATCTTATATAATGTAAATAGAATAGTTCAAACACACAACAGTAGTTGCCCTTGAGGTTTTATTTATTTTCAACATGAACAAAATTGGACTGAAAACTTTCAGAATGCTGCTTTTGACTTGTCACAGTGGCCACTGATCAAACAAACATCTACTCAGTACTTCTATCAGCTCTACTCATTTGAATCATTTTACAGCCATAACTGTTGAATATGCATCCTAAAATACCACATAATGCATAAAAGACTTTATAAATGTATTTATAAAGGACACAAGTTTTGTTAAATTAGCAAAACCAGTGAATAACAAATGCAATAACTTTGCAAGAGCACCTGTGAATGTCCCATCAGAAAAACAATTTAAATCGTAAGTACAATATTGCACTGAAGTTGTATACTTGGCAATAATAATATACTATACTGCCAATGAAGACTGTACAATATCTTCTAAAGGCACCATCAAAATAAGTATGTTGTGTTCACAGTGATTCCAACAATAGATGATCAGCAGTAAGACTGAAATCTTCACGGTTTCAGTGTATTGAGGTTAGATCGATAGGTGAAGGTCTTGGATCTGCAGCAGTCAGATGCAGATCCCCTGGAACTCTAGAGCTTTCCACGTGCAACTGTAGACAGTGGCTCAGGAGTGGATGGCACGTAATGTCTGTTAAGTGCGCCTTGAAAGATACAGGAACTCCTCCCGGGTTTTGGGGTCCTCGAGGTAGACTCCCAGCATGGCGCTTGTCACTGTGCGGCTGTTCATCTTCTGGACACCACGCATCACCATACACATGTGCCTGCAAAACACACAAGTGCGCTTATCAAACCTCTGCAGCTCCTGAGCTTACTGGCTCCTAAGCTCTGCTTAAGGCCAGTATTTTGTGTCATATAATGCTATATGAGTATCTGTGCAATATAACAGCAGCTTTAAGCTGTACAGATAATAATGTTGAAGGTAGGTAGTGTGTGTATGTTTGTACTTACGCCGCTTCAATAACCACAGCTACACCTTTTGGCTGCAGAGCCTCAGATATCCCAACGGCGATCTGCTTAGTCAGTCGCTCTTGAACTGAAACCAAAACAAAACAAAGAAATTCAGCTTATACGGTACACTAGACGATGCCAGTTTCATGCTGTTACTGCGTGCACACATTTGCCGGTTGCTTACCTTGAAGCCTACGGCTGAAGATCTCCACAATCCTGCAGAAATCAGAACACAAGCAAAGCCAAGGAGATTCATTAATAATGATTCAGTTTTTAATAAACACAGTCTGGCATCAGTCCCTGACTACCGGCCTCTTCTCCAGCCAGCAGACTGTATAACTTGTCATTTGTGAATCAGTCACATTCTGTGAATTTGTCATTCACAGTTCAACGTTAGTGAGACTGTCTCAAGTTCATCTGCAGCTACTGTAACTCTGCATCACTATATTCAGATTTAAAGAGATATTTTAGGACAGGAGGAGAAGGAGACAGGCAGAGAGGCTGTGATAATAGTCTGGGATTCCCACAGGTCCAAAAGGATTTTCTCATGGCTCGAGAGCGAGCAGAGTTTAGACTTGTGTCTGATGAGAGGCCTAGATGATAGCCAGTGTGTTTAGGCTCTAAGCCTCCAGGTCAATGCACTGGAATAACAGAAGAACACAGTCAGCTGACACTAACACGAGAAACATACAGACACAGTGGCAGCTGGAGGGTACAGTGCATGTGTGTGTGTGGGTGCGTACTCTGTTACCTTGCCAGCTTGCTCAGTCCCACCACTTTTTTGTTGGGAATATACCCGATGTGAACCTGGAGAGGGACGACAGCCAGTGAGAGCACATAATCAGAGAAATACAGGAGGTCAGTATTAGCGGTTGAATGCTGAAATTAATTCACTGAAGAACAATGCTTAATGAGTAAGAAAGCTTTTTTTCTTGTCTCACTCTTTCTTTCTTTTTTAAAATGTAACATTTCTTTCAATCACATAGACCTACCTTGCCAAAAAAGGGCACCATGTGGTGTTCACATAGTGAAAACATGTCTATGTCTTTCACAATCACCATCTCATCGTGGTCTTCATCAAATATGGCATTGTTTAAGATGTCTGGTGATACAAAAGCAAACATATGCATTTAAATTATTCCATTATCTTTACTTCAGTTAAGGAAACATTCATCTGAAATCTTTTCAACATCCTGGAATCATAATAATAATGCTTAATACTAATAATACTTGATCTACCCGTTATTTTGTGCCTTGATCTTTTAATTTTAACGTCTGTGAAGATTTAAAATATCATGATTTGACCAACCAAACGTTCATAAGTAAAAAGATGCTGAATACTGAGGTAAGTCATTTTGCTAACTCACTCTCTCATCCTCTCTCAACTTTTTCCCAGGTGACTCACCATCGATGGTCTCATGGTAGCCCTTGGTGAGGAACTGGATGGCTTTGGCTGCGCGCAACGGGGTGCGCAACAGTCCCTCCCGGTCGGTGTCTTCCCCAAGATGCCTGAGGATGTCGGTGTAGGCGGTCTCCAGCGCTGGTAACCGAGACGCGTCCTCCAACTCTTTGCGGGATGTCTCGTGGTGGTTGTTGACGGTTGACATCTTGTTGTCTGTGTGGAACTCCTCCACGATGTCGCCGACTTTTGTGCTCATGGTTAAGGCGCGCTTGGACTCTGCTTAGGACCGAGAAATAAACAAGGATGAAGTTCCGTTGCCCTGCGGGTCTGGCTGGCCTATTCGGTAGTTATCCTGTTTATGGGGCCTGCCTGGGATGCGCATCAGGCTCCTATTGGTCGGAGTCGTGCGTACGTCAAAAAAGGAAGCATCGTCAGAGGGGTTAAACACTGACCAACCCCGCCCCCTACAAAGAAGAAAAAAAAAGGGAAAGAAACCTTATCTTATGTCACTTGAGACCTTGTTAACCTCCTTTTTAAATCATCTGAGTTGATTTGTTCCAGTTATGTTGCTCTGATACAAAAAATCTTAGTAAGCTCGTGAGGCTCATGACTTCACATGCTTTTTTTTTAAGTTTATGGAAATCAAATTGTTGTGTAATCACGTGAACTGTCTTGATAAGCCACAATCAAAAGCACAATATGTTTTTTTTCTGCTGGGAATACACAGCCCAAAATGTCAGAGGGCTTCAAAGGTACATATCTGCATTAAAGATACTTACAACCAGTCTGTTTAACTCTATGTCTTAATTATGAAAAATGTGGATGGTTTGACATTAATTTTGTAATATTATTTTCATGAATAAAATGATTTAATACAAACAAGCCTTGTGGGATCTGATATCTGATAAGTAATAAATGTTGTTTGCATGGTGATAGAGTATTTTAATCATAATAAGAATAATAGTAACTTTATTTATAAAGCGCTTTCAACCAAAGTGCTGTACAGCTATTTGAACTAAAAAAAAAAGAATAAATAAAAACAATAAAAGTTAACAACAGTAAGAATTTAAAAACTAAAAGGCATAAAATTAAGACATGTAAGATAATCATCAGATAACAGTTATTACATTTATTTACTTTTTCTTGCTGTAGGTCAAAGGTCACTTTAGGTCAGTGTGCAGATTGCGATAAGTTTGTATATTTTGGGTGTGAGACAGAGAGAATGAAACAATCACCAGTGCAAATTGGTTTATTTTATCACTGAATTGTTCTGTTCACTATAAGCAATATGACAGCAAGAAACACAAGCGACACATTAGGTAAGTATTAGATATTTACTCATCAACAGCATATATCACAGAAAAAAATTTGCTGCCATGTTCCCTAAAGCAAGTTACGCAAGGAATTAATATATAATTCACAAATATTTCTGGTTTGTCAAGCCCATTTCCAACGGACTGAGGAAAAGTAGAAAACTTATTTTATCTGATGAATCACATTTAGACATTTTTCACAGAAATACACATGCTTCAGGCTAAAGAGCATCTGGCTTGTTATGCCTCTGTGATTGTCTAAAAGGGCACATGCCATGGGTAACTTGTACATGTGTGAAGGCACCACTTGATATATAAAGCATTAAAGCGATGTAGCCATCCATCCAGATGGGCTTTTATTGTTTTAAGAAAAGGTGTTGCTTGTTTCTACTTACTGTTTTGTCTCAGCTGCAGTCATTACACAAAACTCATTCACTGCAGCTACTAGATAATAATATTGGCATGCAAACACTCAGATATCCATAGATTTCATTTTTTGTTTGGTAGATGTGTATTCAATTTATACAGGGTTCAAAAGTCAAAAACATAAGTATAACTTTCTTTAACTTCTAAAATTATTTTAGATAAGTTTAAAAGTGTTAGTTCCAGTTAAGTTCACGCTAGAAAGGTCAGTAAGTTCAGTCTACACTTCAGGGTCTAAGTATAGAGAGCATGTGCTGTTAGGTCGATAAGGTTTTAATTCAATGGGGTTATTTTTTGGTCTTGTTTTAATTGAATTAACTGTTTCTGGGTTTACACAGGGCTCCATAATGTCGTGATTTACACATTTGCCTAACATCAGACAGTTTCCTGGTTCAAGACCAAAATCCATACAAATCTACTAAATCAACTGTGCAGCGCTATCAGCTGTGTTGACCCCTTGTAAGGTAGCAGCTGAAAGAAGCATCAGATACTCTAAATCAATAGGACAAACTACGATAAGTTTAATGCCCGTATTATTTCTGCTGTTTCCTGCTTTTTCTTATTTGTATCACATTTTATTTAGACTGTTTCTGTTTGTCCTGATCTTCTGTTTCAGAATCAGATTCTTCAACTTTCATTTGCTGTAATGTTTTCATCATCTGTTCTTCTATTCTTGTGCCTACATCTTGTTTAATTTTGTTAAACATTTTCTCAAATGCATCAAGGTTTTCTTCTGTACCTTGAATTAAAATCTTTCCACTGGGAAATATGGACACAGTGCCTCCATCAGAGAGCTCAAGTTTGAGTTTGTTGGCCATTTGAAAAGCCTTGGATTGAGGGTACGCATCTTCTATTGCAGCCCTGTAGTGTGCTCCAGCGTGGGTGAAGAAAATGAGGTTGCATCTTACACCAGTTTGAATATTTTCTTTTCCTCATCGTCCATTCCTTTAGATTAGTCAAAACGACGAGCTGTCATCTAAAAAACATAAAACAATAATTATTTTTATGATGATAAAGTATTTAATAAATTCAGCACTTGTAGATGTGATGTGGTGATATAATTTTACCTTCAATGTTTCATTTACAGGCTGTGTGCAAAAGGCCACACTCTTCAAATTCATGCCAACTAATGTTTTTACGTCCAGTAAGTGTCCTACTAGAGCAAATGAAGCTTCAAGAAGCTTTGCGCTGGGGTGAACCAATTGGATGAAAAGCTTCAGCGCTTCATGAAGCTTCATCTGCCCATCACTAGTCATCCCAGCTGTGACTGTGCTAGTGAGACTTCTAAACAGAGAAACAGACGAGGACCACGGCGTCAAGACAATGAAAGCAACCTTACTGGCAGCTGTCAGGAAGCGCTTCAGTGACGTCGAGACCAACCCACTGTACTTCATCTCCACCATACTCGACCCAAGGTAAAGTCTGTGTGCTATAGGTATTCAATGAGTATAGCTACAGTACTAA